CCCCAAAACCCCAAAACCCCAAAACCCCAAAACCCCAAAACCCCAAAAGAGTAAAGTAACAAAAAATGAGTGGAAGAAAATAATGTAAATAATGTAATGGAAAAGCTTCAGCAGCGAAGCGACTGGCTGGCCTTAAATTTAATTGAGATTACACTTGAGCGATTCTTGGCCTTTAAAAGGCTGAGCTGGATTTCTGAGAACACAAAAAACATAAAAATCCAATTGAAAGATGTTTGAAGCCAAATTAGCTGACGGTCAAACTTTGAAGAGAATTGTGGAAGCAATCAAGGACTTAGTAACTGATGTGAACATTGATGCTACTCCAACTGGATTATCACTCTAAGCTATGGACTCTTCCCATGTTGCTTTAGTAAATTTGCACTTATCTATGGAAGGCTTTGAGAAGTACAGATGTGATAGAAATCTAACCCTAGGTATTAGCATCACTAATTTAGCCAAAGTCATGAAGCTTGTGAATGTAAATGACTCTATTACTTTGAAATGTGAAGATGAACCAACCTACTTAACTATTGTTTGTGTGAATTAGAAACTGGACAGAACCACTCAATTTAATATCAACTTGATTACTCTTGACTCAGAGCACTTAGGTATCCCAGAGACTGAATACACCTCAGAGATCACTATGAACTCTAATGAATTCTCTAAGCTTTGCAAGGAATTGTATGTCCTTAGTGAGACAGTTGAATTTGAAATTTCTTCGACTTATGTCAAATTTAGTGTTGAGGGAGAAGTTGGATCAGGAAGTATAAAGATTCAAACAGGTGGTGGCTACAATGGAGCTGATGACGGTGTAACAAAAGAGGAGGAGACTGTTAAGCTATCTTTTGCACTGAGATACTTAAACTTGTTTAACAAAGCTTATACTCTTTCTACTCATGTGAAACTGTCGATGGCTGCTGACACTCCTTTGGTTGTTGAATATGAAGTTGAGATGCTTGGCACTTTGAAATACTACTTAGCGCCAAAGATTACTGATGGAGGTCAATGATGAAATGAAATGACTAAGAAATCAAAGTTAATGTAGATAATATGGAAATTGATAATATTAATTAATTTCTTAAGAGAATCGATTAATTATAAAAATTATTATTGACACAAATTTAATTAGGTGTCTGAAAAGAAAAATGAATACACTTAGAAACAATCTAAAGCAATCCCTGTTTAAATGCTTAGCAAACTAGAACACAAGTTCTGTATCGAATCAATTAATTCTGAGTAATAGCAGGAAGTACTTGACACTTAATAAAATGGGTAGAGTTCAGTTTTTACTAAATAGATAATGCTATTCCTCTGCCAAAAGCACGACTCTTACTCAATTTTAATAAATGAGCTTCGCAAAGAAAGATGAAAAGAATAAAAAAGACGATAAAAAGCAGAAAGAAAAGGAGTAAGTGCATCAATAATTTGAAGGTCAAGATTTGAATACTGTGAAAAGAGACTATGACACAAAGCTTTAAGTAAGATTGACATTTTGATAATACCTCTATAGGAATCTATAATTGAACTATAAGAGAGCTTAAAGGCAGTCAAATCAGGCAGAGCCTCCACAGATATCTTTGATGACATTGAAGTGACAGCTTATGGCGAAAAGCATCCTTTCAGCGATCTATGTTAGACTATTGTAAAAGGAAATAACAATATGCTGGTTAGAGTGTTTGATGAAAATGTGAAAGATGATGTTATAAAAGCTCTTACCAGATCAGAGCTTGATCTTAATTGTACTCTTGAGGGTAAAGATATTAAAGTAAAGCTAGGAACTACCAAGAAAGAGACAATTGATGCTGCCATAAAGCAGATCAAATCATGTGGAGATGATTTTAAGTTAGCATTAAAGGATATAAGGCATGAGATGATGTAGACTGTGAAGAAGTTGGAAAAGATTTTGCCTCAAGAAGAGATCAAGGTATTCTAAAAAGATCTAGAGAAGCTCTGCACTAACAAAGAAGCTGATGCTAAGAAGCATATTGATGCTAAAGAGAAGGAAATTAAGGCTCAATGACTGAAATATATATAGACCATATTAGATCTGGATCTATAGAGTGAGACTAGTAAGTATTTACAGAGCAGCTCACTTAAATAGCTTATTTAACTTCATTATCGATTCAATCAGACTCCCACTAATTGTCAATTTGCGAGTATGGGGTTTTGGGGTTTTGGGGTTTTGGGGTTTTGGGGTTTTGGGGTTTTGGG